TCAGGCCTGGGATGCTTCCCCAGTCCTCTCCCATGTCCGGCCTAGCACCCTTCTTCCAAGAAGCCAGCCCAGACCATGTCCTTCCTCTTCTTCTTGGGAATTCCTGCAGTCCTTGTGCCCCCTCCATGGAATCTAGCTTCTGCTACCTTGTTTCTGGTTTGGGTGCAAGGGACCCATCTCCACAGATAGACAGCATCCTCTCCAGGGCTCAGCCTTCATCTCACATTCCTCAGAGACCCGCTGCTCAGGTGGCCTCACACAAGCTCGGGGCACATCATTTTTACCGATGTTCCAGTTGGGGGTCCTTTGTTTGCAGCACCAGGGTTGAGCTGCTGAGGAAATCCTAACTGCTGAGTCAGGGGCCCCCGCTTTGCCAAGCAGGACTGAGTTTCATTAAGTGAGGATGAAATACAAATTCCCCGCAGCATTCATGGGATTGATGTCCAAGGCGCAGCTGCCATTTATGTTTTGAAATTTGCAGTTGGGGATCATTGTGAAACTTGATTGCTCTGTCTTGGGGACTTCTTAAAGTCCAACTCTCACAATAAGGCCAATCAGACTTCACCATCAAATGTCAAATAGGAGCTAATGAACCATTCACGGGCTGGGGAGAGAAATCAGGCAATCTCTTATTTCAGGATTATCCCTTCCAAATATTGAATCTGAACTGTAAGCAGAATTTGCTATAATTGCCTCCCCCTCCTCGCGGGTATGGGGGATCATTGGCATTCGCTTTGTGTCTCAGCTTGCTAGAGAGAGGCTTGACAAGCCGACCCGCTGCTGTCTGGAGGCACGTGCTCCTGGGGGCACCGTTTAGAGAGGGAGTGGGCAAGGCATGCTGGGAGTCTTCGGCTCCCTTGGCTGAGTCGGTGGAGCCTGATGTTGGCTGGGTGTCCCAAGTGCCTCTTTGTAGGAGAGAGTGGTCTCCGGCAAAAGAGGACACCCTCACATCGGTTCCCCTGGGAGCCTGGCGGTGGCTGCAGGAAAGTCACTCCAGCTCAGGGACAAAGGAATGTGTCTGTTGCACTGGGATCTGCAAAGACTACCTGCTTGGCTGCCACCCCTGTAGGCTGATGCCCAAATATGTATGTTGCTCTCTGATGCCCCTTTGAAAGATGTGGCTGGTTGACTTGGGTTATAAGAGAGGGTTGCCATCACTTTGACCTGGGACAGTGCTGTGATACGGGAGGTGTTTCTTTTCCTCTTGATTCCTTTTGGAATGGAGGGTAGCACAGTGGTGTGGTGAGCCACTCCCTGTGGCAGAGGTGGCGGGCTGTCCATCACAGTGTCCTCTTCCCTGTCTTACTACACAGTCCTGGCTGGCTGGAAAGCAGCTGTCTGGCCAGCGATGTGCAATTAGGCTTAGTCACATAACTGGCTTTCATCACTAAAATGTGAGAGGAGGCAAGGTGGGCTACTTACAGGTTCAAGGATCTTAAGAGGCAGTGCACCTTGTCCACCCTGATTTCCCTCTTTCACTAAGTGGTGTTTCAGGTGATGACAAGGCTCAATGGGATGAGCTCACGGATGGGAGGAGCCAGAGCCCCTGAATCACCCACGTTCAGACTAGGCACCAGGAAGTGGAGTTCATTTAACGGTTCATCCCTCCCCGTAGCTGTTGTCATGTGAACTTAGAGCAACCCCTGTAAAGGTGGAGTGTATTGGTTAAATCAATGGCCTCACAGCTTGTGGGATCTTAGTTCAGCAACCAGATATCAGACCTGGGACCATAACAGTGAAAGCACAGGGTCCTAACCACTCTGGGAATCCCCTCATTATTTTCTTGAATCAGGTTTGCCGCAAAATTAAGAGGAGATTTCCCCTGGCTCCACATGGGCATAGCCTGTCCCATGAACAGTGACATATCCTGATCACCCAAAGTCCACAGTTTACCTTAGGGTTCACTCTTGGTGTTGTATATTCTGTGGGTTTGAACAAATGTATGACATCCATCCATCATTAGGATACTGTACAGAGTGTCTTCACTGAATTATTTTGCTTTTCTTTCTTTTTTTAACCCCATCATGTTATGCTTGTGTGCTAAGTTGCTTCAGTTGCGTTTGACTCTTTGTAACCCTATGGACTGTAGCCCGCCAGGCTCCTCTGTCCACGGGATTTCCCAGGCAAGAGTACTAGAGCGGGTTACCATTTTCTCCTCCAGGGGATCTTCCCAACCCAGGGATCAAACCAGCATCTCTTATGTCGCCCACATTGGCAGGCAGGCAGGCTCTGTACCAGTAGCGCCGCCTGAGAAGCCCCCTTCATGCCGTGAATTCTTAGGACATGGGTTCCAGCGGCTCAGGCTCCTCTCCGTGGGTCTCACAAAGCCTGCCTCTCTGGCAGGAGCAGGCTGGCACTTCCAACAAACCCAGCACCTTTCTCCTTGTCTCCTCTCTATCCTAGCTCTTAGCGTGCTTACTACATTCAACACATTCACTCCTTCTCTTGCAAGTATCTTGTCCCCCACCTGTTTGTTTATAACAATGTCAGCAACACGCAGGCCCATGTCATAGACTCCTCCAGTTTTGCTATGGCGACACTTACAGGGCATTCCCTTTGGAACAGTGTTGTTCCTGGATGTCGACGACATCACCTTCTCTATAGAGTCACGTGTACATGGCCGAAGGAGAAGCTTCTTGTTTTCTAAAAGGCCTGGAGAACATTTAGTGGTTGCCTCTCCTCTTTCCCTTCATTACTGGAAGATGGTGGTTCTGGCTAACAGGCCATAAATGCTTTTTAAATGAATGAATGAAAAAAAGAAAGTCTTGAAAATAGTATTGGGAGAAAAAGATCGGAACGTATAGGCTGAAACAGCTGTTCAACAAGGTTCTACTGTACAGCACAGGAAACCATATTGAATATCCTTCGATAAACCATAATGAAAAAGACTATGAAAAACAATATAAATATTTGCATAACTGAATCATTTTGCCATACAGCAGAAATTAACACAACATTGTAAATCAACTATACTTCAATAAAATACAATGAAAAACAAAGAAGCAGCTGTTTAAATCCAGAGTTGGCTCCTGGTCCACATATGGCTTAAATCAGCACCGTTCTCACGGTGTTTCACTGCAGCTTATGTGGACCTCAGTGGCACCCCAGCTTGGTCCCTGCCTTCCTTCCCTTGAAGGCTTACTGCTTTCTGAAGAAGTGGCGCATGAATGACAGTGTTGCCTAAAATTTTCAAGCATCGTTGATTAGCACACCAGTCCGAGGTGGTACGGTTGAAGGGGCAGTGTTCTTCCATACATCTTTTGGCCTGTTTATTTAAAAATGCACCATGTTACTGAAGCATACATTGTTCCAGGTCCTCTTCCACCATGATTTGGAAGAAGACTTGGCAGCAAATCTGGATGATGGAATCCTTCTGGAAATTGTTGTCATCATATCGTCTGCAGCTGGGGCTGGGCACTTACTCTGAGCAGGCCGTGGTGAGCCCTTTAATCCTCTTAACTCCTCTGTGAGGGCTCACTTCCACTTTGTTGTTGTTTAGTCTCTTGGTCGTGTCCGACTCTTTGCGACCCCATGGACTGTAGCCCACCAGGCTCCTCTGTCCATGGGATTCTTCAGGCAAGAATACTGGAGTGAGGTGCCATGCCTTCCTCCAGGGAATCTTCCTGACTCAGGGAATGAACCCACATTTCCTGCATTGCAGGTGGATTCTTTACTGCTGAGCCACCTGGGAAGGCCCACGCCCACTTTAGAGATGGAGAAACTGAGGCTCTGGGAGATAAAGTCAGGTGCCAAGCTGGTACAGCAGGATCCAACTCCAGAGTACCATGTGGGGCAGGTGTGGTATCTTCTGTGGGCCACAGGTGTCTTATTGAAAAGGTTGGGCAGATGCTGTACCAGAAACCCTACTCATTGACACCCCATTGTTCCAGAAACATTGGTTGAGTGTCTTCCCTGTGTGAGGAGGTTGCAGGGAGGCAGGCAAGGTGTCTAACAGTTGAAGCTGGAGAAGTGAAAGGCTTCCTGGGAGGCTGGGGCCTTCCTCTCACCTGAGCAGGGCCAAGTGACTGACCTGGTGATCCCCAAAGTTCCTTCCTTCCTGAGCCTATAGGCCGATGTCTGACGTGTATCCAAGTGACCCTTCAGTTGAGTTCAGTCACTCAGTCATGTCTGACTCTTTGTGACCCCATGGACTGCAGCACGCCAGGCCTCCCTGTCCATCACCAACTCCCAGAGTTTACTCAAACTCATGTCCATTGCATCAGTGATGCCATCCAACCATCTCATCCTCTGTCGTCCCCTTCTCCTCCTGTCTTCAATGTTTGCCAGCATCAGGGTCTTTTCAAATGAGTCAGTTCTTTGCATCAGTTCACTAATGTATTGGAGTTTCAGCTTCAGCATCAGTCCTTCCAATGAATATTCAGGACTGATTTCCTTTAGGATTGACTGGTTGGATCTCTTTGAAGTCCAAGGGATTCTCAAGAGTCTTCTCCAGCACCACAGTTCAAAAGCATCAATTCTTCAAGTGATCCTTCAAACTGTGCCATTTCCACTCTAGAAAGGAGCCATGTCTGGAAGGGGCACCCACAGGGGCAGGCTGCTCGCCCTGAAACGGTCCTGGAGCTGGTTTGCTGTCCTGTAAGCAAGGTCGGCAGTGGAAGACCCACGTGAGTTTAGGAACAGCCTGCTCTACCACTAGGCAAGGAATCCTTTGGTTGATAGTGCAGGTTCGAGGCCCATCAGATCTGAGTTTGAATTTTAGCTTAGTTGTTCCCCAACGAGACTTGGTCCTCCTGTGTAAAATGGGGATAACAATTGTTATCTCTTTCTCTGAGTTGTTATGATGGGTGAATGAGTAATGCGTTTAGTCCAAGACTGGCACAGAGATGAATATTTACCAAAACAACCAGAATTGTTCAGGTGTTTTGCCCAAAGTGGTGTCTTTGGCCTTTGTGGAAATCCTTAGCATGAAGTAATAATCTTGATAACATTTGTTTGGCACAGACTAGGGGCCAGACACTGCTATAAGAGTTCTAGGTGGCCGCCTCGGCCACCGCGCAGCTGCCGGTCCACCTCCGCCACCGCTTAGCCGTGCTCAGAGCCCGGCCGAGGAGGCTGCTGCCGCCGCCAGGAGCCCGCAGCCCGCGCCCCGAGCCCGCCGCGCCACCCTCCGAGGGCGCCCCAGGCCGCGCCATGGTGAAGGTGACGGTCAATTCGGCTCTGGCCCAGAAGGAGGCCAAGAAGGACGAGGCCAAGAGCGGCGAGGAGGCGCTCATCATCCCTCCGGACGCCGTTGCCGTGGACTGCAAGGACCCAGCTGAAGTGGTTCCAGTTGGCCAAAGAAGAGCTTGGTGTTGGTGCATGTGCTTTGGACTGGCGTTTATGCTCGCGGGTGTCATTCTAGGGGGAGCGTACCTGTACAAATATTTTGCACTTCAACCAGATGACGTCTACTACTGTGGAATAAAGTACATCAAAGATGATGTCATCTTAAATGAGCCTTCTGCAGACGCCCCAGCCGCTCGCTACCAGACCATTGAGGAAAATATCAAGATCTTTGAGGAAGATGAGGTTGAATTCATCAGCGTGCCTGTCCCAGAGTTTGCAGATAGTGACCCTGCCAATACTGTTCATGACTTTAACAAGAAACTCACTGCCTATTTGGATCTTAACCTGGATAAGTGCTATGTGATTCCTCTGAACACTTCCATTGTCATGCCACCCAAAAACCTATTGGAGTTACTTATTAACATAAAGGCTGGGACCTACTTGCCTCAGTCATATCTGATTCATGAACACATGGTCATCACTGATCGCATTGAAAACATTGACCACCTGGGTTTCTATATTTATCGACTGTGCCATGACAAGGAAACGTACAAACTGCAACGCAGAGAAACCATTAAAAGTATTCAGAAACGTGAAGCCAGCATCTGTGCTACGATTCGGCATTTTGAGAACAGATTCGCCGTGGAAACTTTAATTTGCTCTTGAACAGTCAAGAAAAACATAATGGAGAGAAATTTAATACCACAGCATAACCCCACCCTTTGTATTTTGTGCAGTGATTATTTTTTAAAAAATCTTCTTTCATGTAAGTAGCACATAGGGCTTCACAATTTTTTCATCTCATTAACTCAATTAAAACCATTATCTTTAAAAATCTTTTTTTCTTTCCAAGTGTGGTGTCTTTTATCTTGAATTAGTTATATGAAGTCATAGGTAATAGTACATTTCATCATAGAGCTTAGGTATTAGGAAGTGTTTAGATTTCATTAATCCATGTACCCAGATTTTTGTGTTTTAATTATGCATTTTCAAGAAGAGAGGTTCTCTAATAATCACACAGATGCATACGTCAAATGGACCACAGGGACTTCCTTGTAGCTGTTGCCCTGCTACTTGGTTTGTTAGAGCATTTTAGCACACATTTTAATTTTCTCCTCTACTTAAAATGTGTAGTATTTTCAGTGTCATATTTCACTATTTAGAGTATGATTTCCACCTCGATGTTTTAATATTCTAGGCATCTGGTGTAATGATATTTTAGAAACTGTTTGGAATTTAAGGAATAACTTGTATTACTAATTTCTATAATCTCTACCTGTGCAATGGAATATAAATATCACAAAGTTGTTTGACTAAAAAAAAAAAAAGAGTTCTAGGTATATTAAGTCATTTAATTCCTATGTCAGCTTCATAAAGTGAGTATTATTATTGTCTTCATTTCATAGATAAGGAAGTCGAGGCACAAGAGGTCTGTCCTGGAAATCTCTGGGGAGGTTCCATAAGGCTATAGGCTGCTCAACAGGAGGGTGGTTTGGTTTGAGATGGAGAACCCATTCTTAACATCTACCAGAGCAGTCTTTTTAAAACTCTATTATGTTTAAAAAATATTTTTTTTGGCTGCACCACACAGCATGTGGAATCTCAGTTCCCCAACCAGGGATCAAACCTGCGCCCTCTGTGTTAGAAGCCGGGAATCTTAACCACTGGACTGCCAGGGAAGTCCTAGCAAAACAGTCTTAATGATATCCCCAATATCTGTGAGACTACCTCACAGTAAAGTGAGTATTTTTTTAAGTTACAAATTAAGAACCCTTGTCCTTTGAAAGACACTGTTAAGAGAATGAAAGACATGTAACAGACTGGGAGAAAATATTTGCAAATCCTATATATGTTAAAATATTTGAATTCAGATTAAATAAACAACTTGTGAAAGGTCATAATAAGAAAACAGCTCAATTTTTTACAATGAACAAAAGATTTGAACAAATACTTCAACAAAGAAGATAAACAAATGGCAAGTAAACACATGAAAAAAATGTTTAACATCAGTTGGCATGTTTTTAGTGCAAATTAGGACCACACTGAGATATTACTTTACACCCCCTTAGAATAGCTAGAATTTAAAAGACTGACTACATTGTATGTTGGCAAGGTTGTGGAGCAACTGGAACTCTCAAACACTGCCGGCAGGAGTCTAAAATGGTACAATCCCTTTGGAAAACAGTTTGTCAATTTCTCAAAGAGTAAAATTCACACCTACCTTATGATTCCAGCCACTGCTAGATAACTACACCTAGGTATTTATGCAAGAGAAAGGGAAGGACAAATCTATGGAAAGACTTGTATCTCAATGCTCACAGCAGTTTTAGTTGCAACAGCTCATCAAATGATGGATCAACAACTTTGGTACATGCATGTTATGGAATACTCTCCAGCAAATACTATTCAATGTGGATGAATCTCAAAATAGTTAGGCTGAGTGAAAGAAGCCTGGGAAAAAACACAAGGAGATCTCTAAAGTCCCATTTATATAATTCCAGGGAATATAAATGAATCCATAATGACAGGAAGCAGGCAAGTGGTTGCCTGGGGGTGAGGGGAGAGAGGGGTGGATTCCCAAGCTGGGAAGACATATTCCCAAGACATAGGCCCATAGGCTCAAGAAGGAAATTTGGGGGCCACCAGGTCAGCTGCTTGGCCCTCCTCAGGTGAGAGGATTTCATTTCCTTAAAGAGGAAATTTTAAGGGAGGCGGACATATTTGCCATCTCAAGTCTGGGCGTGGTTTCACAGGTGTATATATTTGTCAAAACCTATCCAATTGTAAGCTTTAGCTATCTTCAGGTTTTAATGTTAATTATATCTCAATAAGGCTTCCCTGGTGGCTCAGCTGTTAAAGAATCTGCCTGCAATGTGGGAGACCCGGGTTCAATCCCTGGGTTGGGAAGATCCCCTGGAGGCGGGAATGGCTACCCACTCCAGTATTCTGGCCTGGAGAATTTCATGGACTGTATAGTCTGTGGGATCACAAAGAGTCAGACATGACTGAGTGACTTTCACTTTATGCCTCAATAAAACTGTTGAAAGTGAGTTCTGAGTGTGATGAATAAGGGGTTGAAGAATTACTAGATACCCTGACTGACTCAATTCAGGGTCTGATGCTTTTAAGAAATTCCTTTTTTTTTTTTTCAATTTTTAATTAAAAACTTTTTTTGGCCATACCTGCGAGGCATGTGGGGATCCCCAAGCAGGGATCAAACCTGTGCCTCCTTGCATTGGTAGCACGAAGTCTTAACCACTGGACCACCAGCAAATTCCCTAGGGAATTATTTTTTTTTTAATTAAATCTCCAATGAAGGGCAGGCCCTGTACTAGGCACTTTTACTTTGTTCTCTCAGGACCTGGTCAGAGCGTATGCCAGCCAATGTCCCTCTAAGGGGTATGGGGTGGGGGTGGCTGCTCAGAGCTCACAAGGGGAAAGCTTGGGGAAATCCCATCGAATTTCCAGCTTTCCACTTTCCAAATGTGTAGTTTTGACTCTTTTAGGGCTGGTACTTCCATTGAACTCGGCACCTTTCCCCTTGGCTCACTGCTATCACTGTGGAGCTGTGTTCCTTAAACTTCCTCTTAGAACGATGGGAGGGAGAGGAAGGATCGGTGTGTTTCCAGGATGCTCTCAGTCGGCAGCACCAGCCTCCCAGCTCAGAGCTGAGTGAGGCGAGGAGGGCAGGGCCCTGGTGTCTTCTCTGCCCCAGGCTGCATGCTCATCCTTTTGAAACAGCCCTGGGGATGCTCAAGCATCTGTCTCATGCATATTCCAGCTGTCTCCTGAGGAGGTAGACTCTGCAGGCAGACCAGGAAAGGGAGGGACGGTGCATCTGTTCATGGTCTGGTGCTCTCATTCTCCTTTCACAGACTCAAGTGAAGATTTTAAAAGATGCCCAGAGATGGTCTGCAATGGAAATCACTGCTGGATCCCACCCCCAGTGTCTTGGTGTGTGTGTGTGTGTGTGCGCGCGCGCGTGTGTGTGTATACAAACCCAAAGCAAATGCAACTTGGTTCCCCACCTCCTCCCATGATGCAGGTGTGAAAGCCTCTCCTCTCCTGGTTTGGCAGTCTGTTGGGAAGGACTTGCTGGACTGTTGGAAAAGGCTGGCTAACCAGGGATGGAGGCTGTGAATCTCAAACAGGCACAGCTGCGAGTGTAGACAGCAGGAGGAACAGGCTCTGGAGGGAACGAGAGGATGACCAGTGAATAACGCATGCACATAGTTGCAGAGTCCTTCACCTCACCCCGGGCACTACTGGTGTCTTTGACTGAATTGTTCTTTATTGTGAGGCGCTGCCCTGTGCCTTGTGGAATATTTAGCAGCAAGCCTGGCCTCCACCCTAATATCCCACCTTGGGAAAGTCATGACAATCAGAACTGTTCCAGGCTGTCCCCTGGGGGAGAAATCACCCCTGGCTGAGAGCCATGGGACTAGCCACTTTGGATCTCAGTTACGCCACCTGCAAAATGGCCACACGACCTCCCTGAGGGCGGGAGATTGGACTAGATTTGCAACTGTCCAATGCAGCGGTCACAAGTCACATGTGGTTTGAATACTTGAATGTGGCTAGTTTGAGATGTGCTGCGCCTGTGAAGCACAGGCTGAATTTTTAAGATTTAGGGCTTTCTCAGGTGGTGCTAGCGGAGCTAGTAGAAAAGAACCTGCCTGTCACTGCGAGAGACATAAGAGACACTGGTTTGATCCCTGGGTCAGGAAGATCCCCTGGAGGAGGGCATGGCAACCTACTCCAGTATTCCTGCCTGGAGAATCCCATAGATAGAGGAGACTGGCAGGCTACAATCCATAGGGTCACACAGAGCGGACACAACTAAAGCAGCTTAGCACAATAGCATGAGTAGAATAAAAATGAGGTCACATATCTCACTGATTTTTGTGTTGCTTACATGTTCAAACGATAATATTTTGGACATAGTGTGCAAAATAAAATATATTATTAAAATTAACTTCACCAGTTCCTTTTTACTTTTTAAAATGTGTCTCTGAGAAAATCTGAAACAACTCATGCTCCTCCCACCATTTCTATTAGACAGTGTTAGCATGGAGAAGTTGTTTAGTCACTAAGTCGAGTCCAAGTCTTTTGCAACCCCAGGGACTGCAGCCCACCAGGCTCCTCTGTCCAGGCAAGAATACTGGAGTGTGTTGCCATTTCCTTCTTCAGTGGGTCTTTGCTACTGAAGGATCGAACCCACATCTCCTGCACTGGCAGGCAGATTCTTTACCACTGAGCCGCCAGGGAAGCCCCAGTGTGGAGAAGGGACAAATGTTAATCAAAGGATCACTCAGCTGGTGTGAGGGTGCACTAATGAGGAAAGAGATATGGCGGATGACCATGGATTGGGGGATGCTCAAGGGTCAGGCAAGGCTCACCCGAGGCAGTGATGATAGCAGATCTGAGGGAAGAGGAGGGGGAGAAAAGGAGAAAAAGAAGAAGGAGAGTGAGGAGGAGGGGAAGGGGAGGAAAAAAGAGGGGCAGGAGAAGGAGAAAAAGCAATTCGTGCAGAGGAAACAGCTAGCACCAAGGCGCACTGTGGTGGAGGGAGGGTTGCTGTGCTCAAGACCCAGCCAGCAGCCAGGATGGCGGAGCACAGGACAGGACTTTGTGGGCTGGATGAGGAGCTGGTCTCCATCCTTAGGGCAGTGGGAGACCATGGGAAGGGTTTTAAGCAGTGGGGTGACACCATCTGATTTGCTTTTTAAAAAGCATGCTTCATCTTTGATGTTTTATCTCTACTCTGAAGTATATATATATATTTGTGGCTGCAAGGCTTTTAAGGTCTTAGTTCCCCTACCAGGGATCAAACTGGTGCCCTCAGCAGTGAG